GCTGTGGCAGAGCCCAGGGACAGAAGCACCCAGGGTGTCCTAATCTGGCTGTGTGATCCTGAGATCACACCTAATCCCTACTGAGATTAGAACCCACTCCCCAATGGTGGCTGTGAGAAATCAGTGATAAGCACACCTGGGAATACAGACTGCACCAAGCCAGTTAGAATATGTGGTTGAGTTTCCAAATACATGGTGATTTTCCAGCTATCTTTCTGTGCTTGGCTTCTCACTTAACTCCTTCACTGTCAGAGCATATACTCTTACACACTTAAGTCTTTAATACTTGTTTCTGAATCTTTGTCGGACTTGTTTGTGGTGCAGAATTTGGTCCACTTAGGGGACATTCCATTTGAGCGCAGAGCATCTGGATTCTGTCTTTTGTAGATGTTAATGAGGTCTCGTTGGTTAATCGAGGTTTCCAGCTCCTCTGCACCCTTCCTTACTTCCTGTCTGCTTATTTTATTAATTACCGAGAAAGGGAGATCAAGTTCTTTCACTAACATGTGGATTTGTCTTTTATCGTCTGTGATTTTACGCACTTTTGCCTGATGGATTTGGAGCAGTCATTAGGTGTGTAGATGTCTGCGTGCCAAGCGTCCTTGTGGTTGGTGTGGAACGACCTCTTCGCCCGATGTTGCCCCTCGCTCTGACATCATGTGACATTGGTGTCCGCACAGTGCTCCAGGCTCGTCGTGGACAGTGTCTCGTGGTGGCTGTTCACTACCTCTCAGCCTGTAGTGTTCTAGTTTTTGAAGTAGTTGCTCGCTGGTGGGCAGCACACAGCTGGGTCTTAATTTATGTATCCCATCTGACAAATTCTCCCTTTTGTGTGTTTAGGTCATTTTCACTAAATGCAACCCTTGATATAACCACATTTCAGTCTCTTGTCTATCACTTTTTTCATCCTTTTTTACTTCTTTTGGATTAATTTAATATTTTTATGACTTTTATTTCCTTTCTTGGTTTATTAGCTATAACTCTTTGTTCCATGTAGATTACATATGTAATTATTAAATTATATATTAAAATTTTTATACGTATATACTTATTTCAAAATGCTAAGAGAGGCTGGGTTGTGATGGCTTGTGCCTATAATCCCAGCTACTCAGGAAGTGGAGATTGAGAGGATTGCAGTTTGAGGCCAGCCCCAGGGAAAAAGTTAGGGAGACCTCATCTCAACCAATAAAAGTTGCATGGTGATGTATGCCTATCGTCCCTGCTAAGTAGAAATATAAACAGGACAATCGAGGCATGGGCCAGGGCAGGTTTAGAGCACTTGCCAGGCAGGACCTGGGGACCTGGGCTCAAACCCCAGTACTGTCAAATTTTAAAAGTTGCTGGGCTGGAAGCATGGCTCAAGTGATAGAGTGCCTGCCTAGCAAACTTGGTGCTATGAGTTCAAAACCCTGTACCAAAAAAAGAAAGAAAGGAAAAAAAAAAAAGATGTTTACAAGATTCTTCCATTCTCTCCTCCTGGAGATTATGGTTGTGCTGTTTAGTTTTACATATGTTATAAACCATATGCTACATTTTATTCTTTTGTTTAAATGGTCATATCACCTTTTAAAGGTGTTAACTTGGAAAGCAGCCTCCTGTGCCTGCTGTGTACTAGCCCTTCCCTATGCTCACTGCCCATGTCCAGTTTTCCTTCTACCTCACACTTCCTCTGTGTTTTCATAGTGCATGCTTGCAGGTGATATATTCTGTCCGCTGGCCACTGTGTGACCATGTCTTTATCTCATCTTAGCTTTTGAAAGCGATTACTGTTGAGAGAACACTGCAGGCTGGCACTAGTGCCTTGAAGACAGTCCACTTCCCACCGCACTGCTTCCTATGTGAAACCTGTGTCTGTTTCTCCGTAGTGTGTCTTCACTCTGTTTACTGTAAGGTGTTTCTCTTCTCACCAGTCCCGAGCAATTTGATTCTGATGGCCTCTGCTGTAGTGTCCTCTCTTTCTTGTTGAGCTGTGGAAGTTGTTGAGTTTCTTGGATTGTGGTTTGTAGGTTTCATCACATTTGGAAAATATTCCACCAGTATCTGTTCAAATGTTTTGTCTGTATCCCCTTTTCCTTAGGGATTCAGTGACAGTGTATGAGAATTCCCAAGGTCCCTCTGGTCACTGGTAGACCAGTGGTGCCATGGGGAGCAGAGGTTACTCTGTTAGGTCTCCTTTTAGGAGTTACCGTGGCTGTGTCTTCAGTTCCACTAACTTCCTTTCCATCTTCTCATCTGCCTTATCAGCATCCTTAATGGTGGAAATGCTTCTTGCCCTGTTCCCTTTTGGAATGCTGTAGCTATTTTCTGTACAATCACTGTGGGATGGTCCTCCTCACAGCAGCATGGCTCCAGGCCCTTTCTCATAGGCCTGGCTTCACAAGGCCAGAGCCAGGAAGCCCCTCTGTTCTCTTGACAAGCTCGGGACCTCTGAGACTGGAGGAGAGGGAACAGTTTGCCTCTTGGACTATCCAGTGGGTGGCTACCTCAGTGCTTGCTGGTAGCCACTGCTTGGAGTGCCCAACACCACAGAGGAGCCCATTGTTTTTTTGTTTTGTTTTGTGGTACTGGGGATGGAACCCAGAGCCTCACACATGCTAGGCAAATGCTGTGCCAGTGAGCTTTACCCCAGCCCAGTCATGTGTTTTGATCATCCCAGTCACCACTGTCTTTATCACTCACGTGTCTTTCTGTCTTCAGTGGAAGTAGAAGCATCCTAGGTGACTGGGCACAGGAGAGCACCGTGGAGGCCATGGTGTGATACCGAGTGGCACACAGCTCTTTGGGCCTCACTAAACCAGCACGAGTGACCCCCCCATCCCGTGGGGAGCTCAGCACCATCTCCACCACTTTCCCATGACATGTACCAACTCCACCAGGTGTGAGGCAGAAATTGGTCACCCCAAAACCCAGATAGAGAACTTGGACTTCAGCATGTGAACCTGCCTTGAACACGTCCTGTCTTCCTCCAGCTCTGGGCAGTGCCTGTGGGGTGACCGCCTGGGCCAGCAGTGGAGCTGCCATAGTGCAGCATCTTCTGTTGAAATCAAGTGAATTTAACAAACTCATTCTCCCTGTGAGAACTATGGCCTAACCTTTCACATTAAACCGCAAGCACCTTATCTGCACTGTCTAGAATGGGGATAGGTAGACCAGACTTTTATGTTTGACAGTGGTGGGATGGCTGGGCCTCCGTGTCTCCCTGGGTTGTGACAGGCATCTTCCCCCTTATGTTTTCCTCCTTAAAATTGTGTCTTTTTAGAACAGATTTGTAAACCGTGACTGAATGTCTGGGCACAACACATCATCACCCGTCTAATGAGCAGGCGTGCTGCAGCTCCAGCAGAGCCGTGGCCTCAGCAGCTCTCAACTCTTGGCTTGCGCTTTATGGGGTGTAGTGTTGCCACTGCCCTCCACAGTTTTACAACCAAGCTTTAGTGCAAGCAAAAGTGAGGCTTCACTCCCTGCAGGAGCAGGGAGACCGCAGCAGGCCACACTCCCCCAGGAGCTCAGCTCTCCCACAGAGGTACAGGGCTGTACTCACAAAACTGAGTGAGCTGACCGTGTCAGGGAGCCCAGTCACCATCTGCCCCCTAACACTGTCACCCACATCATTATTCTCATTTTATGGGGTGTGGTGAAGCCCACGGGGGCCTCCCTCTCTGAGCTTGTTCTGGGCCCACTCTGGGCTGGGGGTTGACTTGTTTCACTTCATCATAGCACTTTGTCCTGTGAGGACATGTAAATCTGTGTACTTGGCAGGAGACTTCCCCACCTTACCCAGCTGGGGTTCTGTCTTCTCCAGTCCCACACCTCTTAACCAGCATGCACATCCCCACAGAGTGGCCATGCCCTCATCCTCTGCTGCTCCTCCCTTGTTGGGGTGCTCTGGGGTCCAGAGGCTATGTCTTCAGTGGGATGCCGGGGTAGGTGACTGGCATCCTGTCCTATCCATCTGTAGGTCCTCTTCCTCCATGATGGTTGTGTCCGACACAGCACTCCTCAGATCTGAGGAAAAAAGTCCCCCTTGCCCGGTGACATGGGGGTAGACACTGCCCAGTGATGGAAAGCAGCAGCCCACATCAGACTCGCCTGGTGCCAGGGATAGCCTGGCTAACCAGAGCACAACTCAGGAACCTACTGGTTTTGTCCTTGGGCCCATCAGGGGTGGTGATCTGGGGGCAGTGGGGGGTGGGGGAGGCCACAGCCCAGAGCAGATGGAGACTATGCAGGCACTGCAGCCCCTAGGTCAGTCCCCAGGCGTGGACTGGGGGGTCACTCTGCTCAGATTGGCCAGCTCTTTCTTGTAGAAAGCACTGAGAAGCTGGATGTGCGCCCTGAGTGCCCCCTGCTCTGCAGAGCTGGGTGGAGGGGGCTGGCATCTCCCCCACAGCACTATTACGTGGAAAGCTTGGCTTCTTTCCCGTCCAGTGAGCACTGTTTATTTTTCTTAGTCTCATATGGATCCGACAAGTAGCAGGGGCTGCCCATGGGGAGGGGCACGTGTGGGAGCCCAGGAGGCAGGGAGGGCCTGTGGTGTCACAAGGTCCATGCAGCCACTCCAGGATCCTGAAGACAAGGCAATGAGCCTAGAGCTCCAAGGCACCTAGTGGCCAAGGTCAAATCCTGAGGGAGTCATACCTGAGAGGACATGAAGTAGGGATACTCACTCCTCCAAAGTTGTTTCTGATCCTTCTCTGTTGCAGATGCCTGCCTTTGTTTCTCCTGTTTATTCAGGGCCAGCTGGCCTAGTCCTAAGTGACCCTCATCTCCCCACCCTAGCCCCTGTGCTCAAGCTCTGACTTCATGGAAAGAGCCTGTGTGGCCTTGTGGGAACCCCCAAGAGGACACAGGGACCCCAGGGCCCAAGCCAGCCCTTGGTGGGCTATGAGTACTGGGCGCCAGCCGGGCTGGTCAGCTCCACACATGCAGGGCTGGGGGAGCAGCTCCAGCACTGCTCCTCAGTCTAGCCAAGATGCTTACAGCCTCTCTTGTCCCCACAGACTCAGCCAGTGCCCAACCCACTGGCCTACTACCTGCATAGGTCACCCTGGTGGTTCCACCGCTTCGAGACACTCAGCAACCACTTCCTGGAGCTGCTCGTGCCCTTCTTCCTGTTCCTTGGACGCCGGATGTGCATAGTGCACGGGGTACTGCAGATCCTGTTCCAGGTAGGCCACCCAACTTCAGGTACCCACATAGCCCCAGAGGCACAGCTACCTCACAGCTTCCACTGACCCTGTCAGGGAGGCCAGTGGGGGCACCACAGACCTCACTAGCTCCACCTTGCTCACCTGCTAGAGTCCTGATGCACCCACCCTGGGGTGGACGCCAGGTTTGCCCAGTAAGGTCTGGCTCCTTCCAAGTAGTGTCCCATGGGCAGGGCAGGGAGGGCTGGTGGTATAGTTGCTGGGGTTCTATACAGGTCTGAGTCAGATATATCCCATGTTGTTGAGTCAGATCTTAAAGCTTAAGTTCTAGAAGTTTTCTTTCCCACTTAGATGTCAGTTAGCAAGAATGGATTTCTGAGAGACTGGTCCCATGAGTCCATGTGGATGGTGTCTGTACAGCATTGCAGGGCTGTCCCACCCTAACTTCCCATCTCCTGGTGCAAGGCACCTCCCCAAGGGCCTCAACACATATCCAGCCTTTGCTTTCCCTATAAATGAGGGGACCTGCTTGTCATCATCCAAGGAAAACACAGTTGGGATTTTTCTGATTTCTTTGTCTTACGTACTGTTCTCAGTATATGTTCTTATTACTGGGGTGTAACTTACCCCATGAGGTGCACACTCTGAGGTGTATGTAGTTGGAGTGTTAGGACCCTTCAGAGCACCCCACTCTTCTGCCGTCCACAGACCCCTCTTGCTAGACTGGCTGTTCCACAGAGCAGCCTTCAAGAGGTCATGTGGGTGTCCGACCGTACGGCCATATGAGTGGGTATTCTCTGTGCACCAAGGCCATCATAGCTGGGTGTACTTCTCTGAACCTGGACTTCTGGGCTGTTTCCAGCCCCTAGCCACAAGCCTGCTGTGAGCAAGGTCAGTGTGTGTCTAACTTTATAGGAGTATTGTAATGTGCCATCTCCTACCCCTCCTCCAGCAAGGACGAGAGCTCGTTGCTCCCTCCTCAGCCACCTGGGCTGCTGCTGGTCTTTGTTGTGTCAACCGGGCTGGTGATCAGAATAGCACCTCACCATGACTTTGCCTCCCTGATGGTCACTGGTGATTCCCTGAGTCCATTGGGAGAAGTCGGTATGAGCACAGACCATCCTGCTCACAGCCATGGACTTGGCTCCAAAGACCCAGGTGTGCTGTGAACTTCCAGAGGACATGTGACTACTGTATAATCATAATGTATGCATGTCACGTATACCACGTTAGATAGCTGTACAGTCGTATTTCATACATGCTTGGCTGCATCATACATCCGAGGTGCCTTATTTTTGTCATTACTGTAAATGGATCTTTTCCTCCTAGGTTTCTTCCTCTTTGTCATGAGAGTTTGAAATGTGCTGTTGGCCTCGGGTGTTGGTCTTTTCTCAGTACCCTCTCTGCGGCAATTCTGACTGTTGTCTGTGGGTCCCTAGACAGCACTGCCATGCACAACAGTCAGGTCCCTGAGTGACTTGGCAGCCTCTCCTCCACCTCTTCCTTCCTCACTGTGTGGGTCCTGGGCCCTGTGGACTGCAGTGTGAACAGCAGATATAAGGCTTGGTCTCCATGTCCACAGTGACGCCTCTGGTGGACACTGCCTGCTGCAGCCACTACAGGTAGCTTGTTTGGTCTTCTTAGCCACCTGTGTTTAGTTCTCCCTTATTTCTTGTGTTTTGGGTTTTCGTTCACTGATGGGTGCTGAGTGCAGCAATATCTTCTCATAAATTATGAGAACCAATTGGTTTTCCCTCCTCAATGGATTACTGTGGTAAATTAACACTACTGCCACTATACCAGGGCCACTTGACATTCCCAGCATGCACCCTGCTTGGCCATGGAGTGGACATTTAACATGTTGCTGGGCTGATTTACCAGTGTTTTGAGGAAATTTGTGTGGTTTTCAGTGAATGAGACCTGTTTGTGGCTTTTCACCCTAGTATGGGCCTTGCATGGATCAGCTGTCTGGAACACATCACCCCACACACTAGGACAGGCCCCTCTCTCTGAAGGCCTGTGAAGAACCAGACGTCCTGTCCCTGTACACTTGGATGACGCCAGGTGTGACAGGTTTTGTGGGGTCTGGGGCTGCACTGCCGTGGCTATGGGACATGCAGCTTCCATCCTCCATGAGACCCCCTCTGGTCAGCATTTTCCTGGGAAATTGTCCATTTCAGCTGTTTTCAAGTTTATTAGCCAAAAGAAAGGTCATAGCATTCTCTTATCATTATAGAAGCTGGGTCGGTGAGCTCCTCCTTCCTTGCTCCTCATTCTCAGACGCGTCCTTTGCCAAGGTGGAGAGCAGGGCTGCTGCAGTTGGGCCTAACAAGGAATAGAAAACTCCAGTTTCCTGGGCATCTTTGTTTCAGTGATGACCTTAACGCCCTTCCAATGTTTAGTCATCTCCGTCCCCTGTCAGTTCACCTGCTCTTGTTGCTCCAGTGGTTCAGTTCCGTCTTAATTAATATGCTCTCCTAAAACCATCTTTGGTTCACAAAGAGATTGTGCAGAGACTATGGAGGGTTCTCTTGTGCCCCCCTCCCCCATGAGGAGCCCCTGGCACTGGTGGGTACAAGGTCACCCGTGCACGCCAGACTCCCTCATGGCACTCTGGGTTCTGTGGGTTTAGGACACTGTGAGGATGTCACACAGAGTCCTCCCTGAGCTCCCTGTTCATCTTCTTCCTCTTCCAAACAACAGAGAACTGGAATAGCACAGTGTGAAATCTCACAGCTTGCTCATCTCTCGTTTCTTCTCAACCCTGAGTAACCCCTTCTGGGGGTGCTGCAGCCTGTTTCCCACCCACTTTCTAAGGTCCACAGACAGACCCCCCCACCCCAGCTTTGTGCCCAGACCCATGCATGGCTCTGTCTCAGGAGTCCTAATCTGAGTAGGGCAAGTGCTCTTGGAGTCCAGGCTCTGCTCATGTCCAGGGGGGCTGCGTGGCAGGCTCATCCCAAGGCCCCCCATCATAGGACATCCCCAAAAGAACAAGGGTGCTTGCCCCATGCACCCGGTGTCTCTGAGATGCCTTTGGCCCCTGTGTGCTATGGTCCTGGTGGTAAGAGGAAGTTCAGCTCCCGTCTCCTTAGGCCCATCTCAGGCTCCCTCAGCCAAGGATCCATGGCCAGAGATTCCTACCTCCTCTTGAGGCAGAGGACATGAAGCTGTCCACTCTGGGCTCCAGGTGGATCCAAAGGCACTCAAAAGGATGCCTCTGGACACATAGCCTTGGCAAGAGGCACAGGGCCGCTCAGGTTTCAGGCCAGTGCTTCACTTCAGCGTCTACCCCAGATTTTAAACCTGCCACTAAGGGCCACTGGGTCACTAACCAGTCCTGCCTGCTGCCTCTCTGCAAAGCCAGGACCACTGGACCAGAGATAAGAAGAAGCAGGTTGTCGCATCACTCAAAAAACAAGTGGTGGAAGCCTGAGTCCTATGCGCTCTGGGAAGATTCAGCACCGAACACAGTACTGGAGAGAGGTTTGCTCTGACCTCTGAACCCCCGGCCTCAAAAACATACTTGTTTGTGCAGAATTCACTTGGCAGGAATCCCATGATGCATCAGGGTGAGGAACTGAGCAACAGACCCATAGCCAAGCTCTTCACAGCCCCACCACATAATGACAGGCTCCCCAGGGAGGAAGGAGGTGGCACCCTCCACCCTCAGCTCGGCATGTTACTCCCGAAGGTCCAGCCCAAGCCTCCTCTCTAGCACCATACCTTGTCCAGGGCCATAGCTCTTCCCCAGGGCCTGGCCTGACGTCCCTTAGATCCAGCTGCAGTATGTCCCACGCTGCATTTACACAGCTGTTCTGGAGGCGGGGGGCCCCAAGGCCACAGATCACTGTCTATTCAGAGGTCCCCTTGAAAGGCCCAGGAAAGCCTGGTGCTCTGGGTCTGAGGGGGCTGCTGTTGTCAGCCGCTGCTGTGGGCTGGGTCAGGACATCAGTGGCCAGTCCAGTACAGACAAGAGGAGTCAGGGCTGAACATGAGACTCCACGAGGCTGTCGGGAGGGACCAGAAGGAGGTCCTAGACCGACATAGGAGGACATTTTCCACCCTGTGAGGCCACCCGGACCCACCTGCCTTATTTGTGTTCAGACATCAATGGCCGCTGCTCTAGAGAAAAGGGCAAGAGGCAACATCAGCCTCCCATTCAGACCAACCTTGAACCCAGAACTTTGTAACCCGCTTTGGGGAGGGTTGTGGTAAAATGCTCATAACAAAATGTACCTTTTCCTCTAGCTGGCTAGTTATCCAGGCAGGCCTTGATCTTAGGGTCTTCCTGCTTTGGCCTCCAGGCATGCACCACCACTCTCAGCAAAATGCACCATTCTAAATACAATTCACAGTGCGACCTCCACCTCCGTCTAGATCTAGAACTTCTGCTTCTCCCCAAAAGGAGCTCCAGGCCCGTAAGCAGGCACTCACCCTTCCCCAGCTTTCTGTCTCCACAGATTTGCCCAGTCTGGATGGAATCCTTCATGACCTCTTCTCTGAGTCTGTGTCTGAGGTTCAGCCAGATAGCAGTGAATACTGGATTTGATTCTTTTTTAAGGCCGAGTGACATGCTGTTTCATAGCCTCATCTATTTGTCCATCCATTAGACGTGGAGCTCTTGGTCAGTGCATGCCTGGACTTTGAGACTCGTGTTAGATCTCAGATCAGATTCTTTATGTCTGTGTCTTGCCATGTTCTTATGCTCTTTCTAGTCTCTGTGTGACACTAAGTAGAGGCCTAGTTCATGGCCACAGAGCTGCCTCCATGGTCACGTGTGTATTCTCTGTGGAAAATCCCCACGAGTATTCATGTCCTCTGTGGGAAGCATGCCCAGAGCACGTGTGTCTGCGGTGGTGACCGTCAGCCCAGCAGGGACATCCCGAAACCCACCCTCTTCCTGTCGGGGTCGTGTTGTATCAGCCCCAAAACATCTGCTGAAGCCTCTCCCAGGCTGAATCCTGCCACCTCATGTTCACCTCCCTCTGCTATCCCTGTAGCCCCTGGCCACACCCCAC